TCAAAGATCAACTGCAATTTGATGCCCAATAAGACATTTTCATCCTCCACAGAGTTTTTGTATCTGCTCTACTAGGCACTTGGGCACTAGTAATTCAGGAACATTTTGACCCAATTTCAGAAACTGAGATTTTTCTGAGTTATCCATGTGACTCAGAGCTGAGCTAACTGTACTAGTGCCCTTACTTCCTGTTAATCCTTACTTCAAAAACTCTTCAGGCTTACTAAGTGTGGATTTGTGTTACCAGAGCTAGTGCCCCCACCTCTTGGCTGGCACTACATTCTACCTTTGAATCTCAAGTCCCTTAGCTCTGCTCAGCTTCTCAGTAGCCTCTTAAAAATCTGCAAAATCTCCCAGGGTACAAGTGGTCACAAATGAAGAATTCATTTCCTTTATGAATTTCTATTTTGTCTCAGATATTAACTTGATAATTATTCACTAACTTAGCTTTCTAACATCATCCAATACTTTTTCAAATATATTTGAAATATTTCTAAATATTCTCAAGTGAGAATGTTAAATCCAAATTACTCAGCCCACTTTATTTCCTGTTGATTATGTGTAAAGTGTAATTGATATCTTTGTATTGCTTCTGTATCTGGAAACTTACTAAACTCTAATGATGCTTGTAAGTTATTTGCAAATTCTTTTGGATAGTCTACATAATCTTTAAATAGGGACAGTGATTTGTTTTTTCTAAGATCCAAATTTTGGTTTTGTTAATCCTCTCTCTGTTTGTTTTCTGTTTCATTAATTTCTGCTTTTATCAGTATTACTTATTTTTTCTATTTTGTTTGGAGTTTTTATTGTTCTTGTTTCTAATTTCTTGTGGTAGATGCTTACCTCATTCATTTTCAGCCTTTATTTTCCATTTTTCATTAGGGGTTGTTCCTCTTCAACTCTTGGGTTTTTTAGGAGAGTGTTCCTTCATTACCAACATAGAGTTTGGATTTGGGTTTTTTTTTTAAATCCAATTTGATATTCTTTGTCTTTTAATTGGAACACTAAAGCTATTTACATTTAACATAATGACTAATAGATTTATGTCTGCCATTTTATTTTATGGGGGTTTGTTTTTTGTCTAGCTTGTTCTATGATTCTTTTTCTCTATTTTCTTACCTTTTTAAATTTGTATTTACTTTTGTTTTTTAATTCCATTTATGCCAATTATTAACTGTCTCTCAATTCTAGACACCCTTCTGTATTCTGGAACTTTGCAAACTATATTTCTCCTTCACCATCTAGCTTCCTTTAGGTTCCACAAATAGGGGGCACTAGAAGGAGACTGGAAAGCTGGAGAACGGGAGAAGAGACTTTGACTATTGCCATTTGCTTCCTGATCACCAGCATCACCTCAGCAATGGCTTTTCTCCCAGTAGTTGTGGTTGGTTCCCAGGCTCTACCTTTTTTCTGGCTCTCTGCAGGGTATCTGTTCTAGGTTTCCAGGTTCTAATAATCCTACTTTCTTCCCTTTAATATTTGTGTCCCTTGCCGACATTTTGACTTCTCACAAAACCTGTTTAACCAATTCCTTATGTTAAATTCTTTCTTAATATAAATAATATGGTTTCTCTTTTCCTGAACTATACACATTTTTTTCTTTACTACTCTAGTGGCTTTTATCTTTTGATGATTACCCTATATTACAACATGCATATTCAGATTAAGTCAGACTAAAGTTAATCATTATCTTTACATTTTGGAAGATTATAATTTCCAAAGACAGCCACAGCGATATTTGTAGTCTCACATGCTTTTCTAGAAGCTTGCCACCCCGCAACCACCATCAAGCAACAGAATGTTTCCACTTACTTTGAAACAAGAATTTATGACTACCTCAACTAATACAACAGAATGCAGCGTTTGTAATTGTACAACTTCAAGGTTAGATCATAAAAGATTATATGGCATCTGCATGGCTGGCTCTTAATCTCTTTTGCTTGCTCTTTCCCTCCTGGAAAGCTCACCCTTGTAATCCAGATACCATGTTGTGAGGAGGCCTAAACTAGCCCCCAGGAGAGAAACTGAGACCTACAGAGAAACTGTAAGAGAAACTGCTAACCTACAGTCAGCATCAGGTGTCAGACATGAGTAAGCAAGTTTTCAAGTGATTCCAGGCCCCAGACTTCATGGAGCAGAGACAAGCCATCCCTGCTGTGCCTTGCCAACTTCCAGCCCCACAGAATCTGTGAACATGGATTGTTCATGCAACTTAGTTTGGGGATTATTTGTTACCCAGATGTAATAACTAGAACAACTATCTAACTAGCAGCTTGCATACTATGGTCATATATTTTATTTTTGCATTTTAATTCCATTGTCAAGTACTTCAACGTCTTTTAATTCTATAGACTTTATTATTTTCTTATATAGCCAATGTTTATATTTACACACACACATATATATCACTTTCTTTACTCTTTATTCTCCTTTGTGCCTCAGGCTTACCATCTGGGATCAATTTCTTTCTACCTGAAATATTTCCTCTAGAATTTCATTTTGTGACAGTCCACTGGTAGCATACTTGCTCATGATTTCTTTGTCTGAAAATATCTTTATTTTGCTCTCATTCTGCAGAGGTATGTTTGCTCAATGTAGAATTCTAATTTGGCCTTTGTTATCTTTCAACATGCTGGAAATATTTTTCTACTCTCTTACGACTTCCTCTCTGGCTCTTGAGTCAACTGTCAAGCTAAATATTGCATCTTTAAAGCAATTATCTGCTTACGTTGTATGTGGTATAATTATGTGTCTGGGTATGGATTTCTTTTGTTAATCCTGTTTAGGATTTGTTCAGCTCTTTGAATCTAGATTTGTGCCTTTTGTTAGTTCATTACTCCTTCACATATTGCCTATATCCCCCTTCTCTTTTCTTATAGGAGGATTCTCATTACACGTGGCAGACTTACTCTGCCTTCCATATTTATCACCCTCTCTTCTGTATTTTCCAATTGTTTTTGTCTTGTCAGGATTTATACTGTATAATTTCTTCTGACACATATTCTACTTTACTTCTCTTCATCTGTTTCGTACATACTTACTATTAAATCCATCCATTTTGTTTTTAATTTTGGTTGTATTTTTCAGTCCTAGAAGTTCTATTTGGTTCTCTTTTTTTCAACTGCTGGAACACTTTTTATAGTTTCCCATCCTCTGCACATATTGTCTAACATCTATTTAAACTGTGAGGGCCGTTTTATGGTTTCATCAATTTCAATTTCTGCAGTTTTTGTGGTTCTTTTCCTGTTGTTTCTCCCAGCTCAATGTGTTGGTGGCCTTCTATTAGACTCTCCACCTTAGTCAGGCCCTGGGCTTTGATTTCTTTCTCCCTGTTCATTCCTTTCACTTTATTGCAGTCAACCACTTTGCCTCACTATCTTCAAGAGTCCATTTCTTTAAGTGTCCTATATTAAGAACTGCATTTCTTTTAGATTGCAAGAATTCATTCTTAACATTTGAGATGGTAACAAATTAGAGCTCTTGAGTCTCTTGTTGCTTATCTGTATTTGGACTAACTTAATTGTGAGGCCCTTGAGAATAAGAGATAGATAGGTCGATCTTTTGTAATCTATGCATCAGTTAACAGTTGATATTACAGTAGATTTCAGAGAAGTATTTCACAAACTTTATTGTGTGTAGTAAACTTTATTGTGATGTGTTTTAAAAGAGCAGATTTCTCGGGCTTCCCTGGTGGCGCAGTGGTTGAGAGTCTGCCTGCCAATGCAGGGGACACGGGTTCGAGCCCTGGTCTGGAAGATCCCACATGCCGCGGAGCAACTAGGCCCGTGAGTCACAACTACTGAGCCTGCGCGTCTGGAGCCTGTGCTCCACAACAAGAGAGGCCGCGATAGTGAGAGGCCCGCGCACCGCGATTTATTTATTTACAGCCGTAAATAAATAAATTTAAAAAAAAAAAAAAAAAAGAGCAGATTTCTGGACCAACCCCCAGAAATTAATTCACTCAGTCTGAGGGCAGCTCAGGAGTCTGCATAATTTTAGGCATCCTAGATAACTCATTGAATGAGTTTGCTAGGGCTGCCATAACAAATACCACAGACTGAGTGGCTTAAACAACAGAAATATATTTCTTCAGTTGCAGAGGCTAAAAGTCCAAGATTGATGTGTCAGTAGAGTTGATTTCTTCTGAGGCCTTTCTTGTTGGCTTTGTTGATGGTCATCTTCTCCCTCTGTCTCACGTCGTCTTTCTTCTGTGTGTGTTTGTGATCTACTCTCCTCTTCTTATAAAGATACATCTTTATAAGGTGTTGGAGCTAAGAGGACCTTAAGAATCCGTTGCTAACCCCTTCATTTTTTCAGATGAAGAAACCAAAGAAGCCAAACATTGAAATAATTAGAACCAGGAGTAGAATATAAGCCATATCTTTTGATTCTTAGTTGATTCCCAATTTGAATGACCATCAGGAGCCTGTTTTTCAAGAAAAAAAAGTTTATGAAAAAATGTCCCTGAGATTTTGGTTCAGTAGATCTTTTTTGGGCTGAAGAATTAGTATTTTTAAGGAATTCTAAGTGATTAGTCTCATACTGTGTTGTATTTGTGAAATGGGTGATTATGTAGCCTTTTACCATCCTTATAAATTAATAATTTTTACAAAAGGAGGTTATGGGTTGACTTTGAGCCAGCAAAGAGACAACTTGAGGGAAAACATGGAAAATGATCAATTTCACTAATTTCCAATAACCAAAAAGTGTGGCATAGAGTATTTCCACTGGGAAATGACTTCTCCTAGTACTTTTCATGTCTCTGGTTTTTAGCTGGGTAATTAAAATAACTTACGTTTCATAAATCGGTCAAATCAGATTTTAACAAAATCTTGTGAAGCTTTTTTGGAATTGCTAGAATTTATGAGAACTAGAGGATCTGCTGTGGAGATTGTATAGAGGTAAATGTATTAAACTGAAGCCCTGGGAAATAAAAACTCCATTTAGAAAGGACCATATGTTTTCAACTTATATCAGTGCATGGGAATGCATATATCTTTGAGTTACCCTCACAGCCATATACTATGGTTTTCTAGTGAATTGTTTTCATTCTGATAAGATAATGAAATTGTATGCTGCAGTGTTTAATTCTGGTATCCAAGTAAGTGACTTTGTAATCAGGATCAGGAGGATAGAGATAATTTTCTTTAAAAGTAATATCTTCCTTTTGAAAATAATAAATTACCAAGATACATGAAAGTATAATAGTTTTACCATTTTATTTTATGCAATATGTAGATTTTTCTTCAACCTCTCTCTTCTCCCTTATGTGGTGGGTTCTTGGCCTAGAAATTGTGGGTGGGAAAGCTTGATTGAACCAATGTTGAAGAGGGTAGTTCTTTATTTTCAACATGAACAATTTTCCTGCTTGTACTTGAAAGCTTCAGCAGTATGTGTCAAAATGGATTTTCACCTTTTTTGTAGTTTTTCTTAGAAAGTCCTATTTCCACTCTCATTTACTCTTCCAGTTTACTCTTCCATCATCATTCTGCTTTTGAAAGAAAATATATTACTCTACAGAAGACAGTGTGACAATCTGAAGTCTCTCTTCATGTTTCCTTCTAACTCTGTTCATCTGTCATTCCCTGCTCCTATAACAAGGGAATCTAAAATGCAGGGAGGTTGATAATTTGTTCCTGATCACAAAGCAAACTGAACCAGTTCAGCCACCAGAATAATAGTAATAGCAGAGAACTAAACTAAAGAAACCACTGCCTAAGTCCCAGGCTAATTCCTGAGATATACATGCGTAAGAGAGCCCCAAAGCAACATACCAAAGGTTTTGAAACTGAACTGATATTGGAACACTTCCAGAGAAAGTAAGGCAAAATTAGTTCAATCTAATCAGGATGATTGCCTGCTTAAAAAAAAAATCTCCGGAGGATTTTAATAGGACCCAGAGGCTCATGACATAATATTCAAATTAAAATATCCAAGATACAATTCAAAATTACTTGGTAAACAAAGAGGCAAAAAAACGAGACCACTTCTTAAGGGAAAAGACAACAGATGCCAACACTAAAATAACCAAGATATTGAAATTATCAGAGATTTTGAAGAGCTATGCTCCATGAAGTAGTGATAAATATTCTTGAAACCAACAGTAGGATAGATGTTCTCTACAAAGAAAGAAAAATTACACCAAGCAGAAATTTTCAAAATAAAAAATCTGAAATTAAAAAGATCCACTGGATAGATTGAGTAGAAGTTCTTCAAGTTGAAGATAAATGATACCACAGGAAAAAGAGCAATAGGTGGGAGTTACCTAGATAATAATAGACTACTTTTCCCACATTCTTTAATATGTTTATAACAATTGGAAGCAAAAATTATAATGCTTGTTGGGGTTTTAAATGTTAGGTAGATGTAATATATATGACAACTATAACATGGAGGGGAGAGTAAAGGGACCTATATGGTTGCAAGTCACGATTGGCTACAAACAAGCTACAGTTGCAACCCACCCTCAAGATACAGGGTTTACACAGTGTGTGAATACCAGGAAATGGGAATCATGGTAACCAATAGAATATGGCAAAGGTGATGGGATGTCAATACCATAGTTATGTTACATTGCATAAGACTCCACCTTGCTAGTAGATTTGCTCAATAGTCCCTCCTTCCTTCTCCCTACCTCCACCTCCATTGGTATCTTTGAAGAAGCTGGCTGCTGTGAATCCTAGAGCTGCAAGAAGTCAGTTCTCCAAACAACCTGATTTGAAAGTGGATCCTTCCAGGTCAAGTCTCAGATGAAAACCCAGTCCTAGCCAACACCTTGATCGCAACTTTGCAAAAGCCCCAGCTAAGCCAGGTCCAGACTCCTAACCCACAGACACAGGAAAGGATGGAGTGAGGGGAGAGAGAATATGAATATACGCAAATATTTATCACTGGAGCTGCAGAACCACTAAGAAGGTTTTTTAAAGAGGTTTCAGAAATGAACGTGGATTTGGATTTTAAGCTTCACTTAACTAGCTTCGTGTGTGACTTCTTTAAATGTATGTGAAAACTAAAGTGTTGCTTTTCTTGATTATAAAATGGAGATAGTATATCTTCCTCATAAGATTCTTGGGAGCAATAAGACGAGATGATTCATGTAATCCTGGCTCTTCACATAGAGCCTGGAATGTAGTACATGTACAGTTAATTGTGATAGTCCTTTTGTGTTTCTGAGAATGACAGTTTTCCTCTGGGAAACAGAGAATATTGCTTCCTCCTTCCCCAATGCTATGCTTAGGCATTCAGCCATCCATTTATTCCACCAACATCCATCAGTTTCCACTCTGTACCAGGTCCTGGGTCAGCAGACTATTTATTGAAGACACAGAAGAAATGAACCAATTCCTTGAAAGACACTACCAAAATACTCTCAAGAAAAAAATAGATAACCTAAATTGTCCTACATCTAAATTCAATTAAAGACGCTGAATTCATAGTTTAAAACCTTCCAGCAAAGAAATCTTCAGGCCTATAGGGTGAATTCTACCAAATATTTAAGGAAGAAATAATACCAATTCTACACACATTTTCAGACTATAGAAAAAAATAGAATACTTCTCAGCTCATTTTTTGATGCCAGCATTGCATTAATACCAAAACTAGACAAAATTGTTTTGAAAAACATAATATATATGATCAAGTGTATATATGCAAGGCTGGTCCAAAAATGGAAAATCTATCAATTCACCATATTAATCAAATAAAAGGAAAAATCATGATCATCTCAATAGGTACAGAAAAATCATTTGACAAAATTCAACATCCTTTCACGATTCAAAAACAAAAATAAAACTACTTCAGCAAACTAGGAATTGAAGGAAACTTCCTCAGTTTGATAAAGGGCATTTTAAAAATAATAATAATAATAAACTAGAGACAACATCATACTTATTAGTGAAAGGTGGAATGTTTTTCCTTTAAAACTGGGAGCAAGACAAGGATGTCCACTCTTACCATTTCAATTCATCATTGTTCTAGACAGTCCAGCCAGTAGGTACAATAATACAAGAAAAATAAATAAAAGGTATCCAGATTGGACAACATGAACTGAAATTGTCTCTAGTCACAGATAACATGATTTCTATATATAAAATTCCAAGGAATCAACCAAGAAAAAAGGCTTTTAGAAATGAATAAGTGATATTAGCAAAATCTTGGAATACAAGATCAATATATAAAAATTATATTTCTATATAATACCAACGAACAATTGGAGTTCAGAATTTTTCAAACAGTACCATTTAGAGTAGCACCAAAAAATGAAATACTTAGCTATTAATCTAATGAAATATGTGCAGGCTCTGTATGCTGAAAACTACAAAAGCATTGTAAAAGAAAGACAACATAAATAAATGGAGGGATATACTTCTTTCTCGATTGGAAGACTCAGTATTCTCAAGATGTCACTTCTCCCTGAATTGATTTATAGATTCAACAAAATCCAAATCAAAACCCAGGAGAATTTTTCTGTAGATAACAACAAGCTGATTCTAAAACTTATACTAAAAGGCAAAGAGACTAGATTGGTCCAAACAATTTTAAGAAGAATAAAGTTGGACTTATACCTCTTGATTTCAAGAATTACTGTAAAGCTACAGTAATCAAGATAGTGTGCTGTTGGCAAAAGGGTAGGAACATAATCATTGGAAACTGATTCAGAAAAAATATGTTGAATCGATTTTTTATGAAAGTGTAGAGGCTATTTAATGAAAGGATGATCTTTATAAACCAATGGTCCTAGAACAATTACATATCTAAATGCAAATGAACCTTGACTCATCCCTCACACCTTAAACAAAAATTCCAAATGGATCATAGACCTAAATTAAAACATAAAACTAGGAATTCCCTGGTGATCCAGTGGTTAGGACACAGCACTTTCACTGCCAGGGCCTGGGTTCGATCCCTGGTCGGGGAACTAAGATCCCGCAAGCTGCATGGTATGGCCAAAAATAAATAAAACTGTAACACTTCTAAAAGAAAACATAAGAAAAAAGTCTTCATGATCTTGGGTTAGGCAAAGAATTCTCAGATACAACACCAAAAGTTCAATCCATAGAAGCAAAAATTGATAAATTGTACTTCATCAAAATTTAAGACTGCTTTAAAAAATGCTGTTAGAAGAATGAAAAAAAATTTGTTAATCACATATCTGACAAAGGACTTGTATTCAGAATATGAACAGAACTGTCAAAATTCCACCATAAGAAAACAACCCAGTAAAATTATGGGCAAGATATTTAGGCATATATTTTGCCAGATTAGATATATGAATGGCAAATAGCACATGAAAAGATGCTCAGCATCCTTAATTGTTAGGGAAATGCATATTATAACTACAGAGATACCACTACAAACTTAACAGTAACTTTTTTTTAAACATCTTTTTTGGAGTATAATTGCTTTACAATGTTGTGTTAGTTTCTGCTGTATAACAAAGTGACTCAGCTATATGTATACATATATACCCATATCCCTTCCCTCTTGCGCCTCCCTCCCCCTCCATCCCACCCTCTAGGTGGTCACAAAGCACCGAGCTGATCTCCCTGTGCTATGCAGCTGCTTCCCACTAGCTAGCTATTTTACATTTGGTAGTGTATATATGTCCATGCCACTCTCTCACTCCGTCCCAGCTTACCCTTCCCCCTCCCCATGTCCTCAAGTCCATTCTCTATGTCTGCGTCCAGAATAACTTTTTTAAAGATAATATGAAGTGCTGGCAAGGATGCAACCAGAGCTCTCAGACATTGATGGTAGAGATGTAAAAAGGTGGGACCACCTGTGAGAAGAGTTTTACAGTTTCTTATAAAAAGTTAGACACATATTTATATGACCCAGTAATCTCATTCCTAGATATTTTACCAAAGTTCAATGAACACTTATTTTCACACATTAATCTGCATATGAATATTTATATAGCTTAATAATTTCACAAAACTGGAAACAACCCTAATATATTTAAATTGGTGAATGGATAAACAAACTGGTACCTCCCTACAGAAAAAGACTATTTATAAATAAAAAAGAGTGAGCTCTAATACACAACACTTGTGTGAATCTATACATTATAATGAGTGAAAGAAATCAGTCTCAGAAGGTTCCATACTGTGATTCCATTTATATGGTATTCTGCAAAAATGTTAAACTATAGGAATGGAAACAGATCAGTGGTTGCCAGGGATTGTGTGTGAGAAGAAGGGTTGACTAAAACCGAAGAACATAGGGCTTTTTTTGAGATGATGCAACTTTCTGTGTCTTAATTGTGGTGATAGTTGTCAAAACTCATAGAACTATACACCAAAAAGAGAATTTTATTTATACAAATTAGGTAATTTTTTAAAAGAAAGGAAGAAAAATAACCCCTGTACATAAGATATATCACACTTGGAATCATTCAGTTCACAGCTTCTTCTATATGAAAAGCTCCAAAAGGGCCATACTTTGTTCTCAACACTAAGAATTCCTAGCCCAAGTACATGCAGCTACCCTTCCCTCCTTAACTACTCCGAGTTCTCATGTGAGAGAACATGGGCTAACCTCCTCCAGGATTAGAGACCACATGAAGAGAGTGGTTCAGCCAGCCCCAGCTGACCACCAGCACCAGATGTGCAAATGAGCCCAACTTGGACCATGCAGCTCCAGTCAAGCCACCAGCTGGTTATAGTCCTGTGAATGACACCAAGTGAGACTAGCAGAAGAACTGCCCAACTGAATCCAATCCAAACTGCTGATGTGCAGAGTCGTGAGCAAATAAAACGGTTGTTGATTTAACCACCATGCTTTAGGGGCGGTTTGTTACACAGCATTAGATAACTGACACAATATCATCCATAGAGGAGGCAAATTATATTGGATCCCTCACCCCTTTTTTAAAAAATTATTTTAGAGATGTTACAGGAAATCCTTTCATCTCTGGGGGAAAAAAAGAAGCACATTAATAGCACATTCCCAGAGATTTCTATTAGGTGGTATTTTCCTGCATAAAGCCCAGGCAATGTATTATGCTGACATATCCATAATAACATGTTCATCCTTTGTGGTTATATTTTAAGATAGAGAAGGTCAAAGATGAGAGGGAGAGAGCTGACGGGGCCAATAATCTGTAGTTGACAAAGTGAGACTAAGGGGGGACATGGTGGCAGTTTTTAAATATTTGATGGTTTTAAAGCCAAAAGTTGTATTAATATGTATAAGTTAAAGGAAGAATGTTTCAGACTCAATAGTAGAAATAATTATCTAAAATGAGAGCTGACCAAAAGTGAACTATGCTGCGTTAAAAATCAGTGAGGTGACTGTCATTAAGAATTTACAAACTGGTCACATCTTAGAGACGTTTTCTGTATTGAGTGTGCAGGTGATTCCTATACAGAATGGGACACTATACTGGATAATTTTCTAAAGTTCCTTCAGACTCTAAGTTTATTAAAGTTATTTGGCATCACAAGAGTCATACCCATGTTTTAAAACTTGGACCTTTAAAGCTTGCCGTCCTTTTAATTAGTGAGACTTTCCAGATATGCCCTGATGCGGTAACCAAACCAAGTTGTTTTGCCTCATAATCTGTAGATATTTTTTCTCTCCTGCTTACAGCTTGTCAAGTGACCATGTGCACCAGGGATTGTTTCAAAGGATGGAAAGAAACTGTCACATCCAGCCTGCCCTGCTTTGCCAAAAACTGCACTACAAACAGGGCTTTGTGGTCATGTGAACTGTGTACTTGCACTGGGTCTCATGCTTGGTTTAATGGTCTGCTACCACTGTTTTGAAATTCTTAATAACTTATGAACAAGGGGCCCCATAGCCAATCCTAACTACGATCTTCATCTGTAGTTCCTCACTACCCACCCACTACTTGTTATCTTGCACTCTGCCTTCTGCCTTTACAGTGGAATAAGACTGCACTCTCAATTCATCTGTTGCCTACTGGCCAATCCCCATAGTGTCCCCTTAATCCTCATCCATTTTCATGTCTCAAGCATCTGACATTGTTGACAGACCATACCTTTAAATTCCCTGTTTGGTTTCTGTGACTCTGTATGGCTTTCTTCTCATCAAATTTGTTTGATAAAGTTGAGGAGAATGATGGAATGAAGTTAATAGTCACAATACATGCCTCAGGATTTTTTTCTCTAGAGTGGGCCTATACTCCATCCACCAGGATTTATTGGTACTTCCCTTATTTTCACAGGGTCAGTGACAAAATGATTTCCAAATGGATAAATTTAAAGGCTGAACTATATAATCCTACCTGGTTGGTATTACAAATCATATGTAGGTTTCTTTGTTGTTGTTTTGTTTTCCTTTTCTTAATATAGCAATGAAGTGAAGAACATACCAAGGGTTTCATCAGTTGAATATATAAATGGTCGTAAATTTCCTCGAGTCTCCTTCACGAAATAATCAATGACGCTGAAAAGATTTGGGAGTGTTACCTGTATACAGAGAATAAGAGAAGGTCAGTGTCACCTGTGTAAAGATAGAGTAAGAGAAAGCTCAAATGAAATCTAATGGAGATTACTGTGTATTTCCTATCCTCCAGAAAATCGTGTCAATTCCTCACTTCAATAGCTTACTGAATGGCCAGGGTTTTACCTACCCATGCATTTTCTTTCTCCTTTATAACCGTATCTAATTCCCTATAAAGAAATTACCCCTTTCCTATTGTATACAGTTTGGTGGACAATAATTAGTTACTCTGCTCTTTCCCAGTTACTGTATGAGAATGTGATTCAAGTTAGGCCCAAAAAAGCTCCCTTCCTGAAATTTGAACTTGAGTAGAGGATCAAGAAAGCAGATTCCTAATCAGATGATGCTTAGTACAAGTAACTGCTTCCTAGTCCCTGAAGGTTTTCTAGCCTTCCAGTCATTCTATGGGCTTCCTATGTTCTTAAATTCTTTTTTTTGCTTGTTAGCCACTTTCTTCTGCTTGAAACTAAAGACCCCTTTAAAGCCAGAGAACTTAGCGTTTTAATATCTCATTGTAACAGGCTAATTTACTTGGCTAGGAGTAACTAAAATGTCTTGCTACCCCCTAAGCCAATATTTTTTGGCAAGTAAAACCAGGTTAAACCTGAATATCCCTGGTAAACTTAAAGAGGAAAAAGAATTCACAAAATGACAACCTGGTTGAAGGGTAGGATTGAGGAGTATGAAAGGTGATAGAATAATCCAGGCTGTTCACTTTGTGTACACTGGGGACTGTTGGGGCTAATGACAGATAAAGGAGCCCCAGTTCACCTGTTGCAGAGGCACATTCTTCCTCCCCAACCATTGCTTCCAGTCACTTGGTTATTTGAATTATCCTTCAGCAATCTAATTCTCTGTTTCCTTCATTAGAATTTCTGAAAAAGCCCAGTCAGGCGTGGACATGAGAACTGACAATCTCTGGGAGGCATTTATGGCAAAGATGCAAGTGGGGTATATGAAGCAGCTGCTGTCTTGCTCTTGGTAAAGGTCTGCACTCTAAGGGTTATGGCCAGAACATAAGAAATTCAACACTACACTCCCTTTCTCTGATCAATACAATGGGCCTGGAGAGGCAGAGGAACTAGGAGCTCAATTTTAGAGAAGATACCATAAACATCTTCAAGACCTATCGAATCCATTTAAGTGATAGCACTTTCCTGACTCAGTCTTCCCACCACTGCAGCCTGACATTACAGATGCTTCCTTTCCCCAGCATCCCGGACCACAGGCCACATTACTTCATTGTCATTGGCTGAAACCAGTGTAAATACCAGTTTTTCCACCTGTATAATAGGTGTTACCTCAGGGTAATGATAAAGATTAAATTAGATGGCGTGTGTGAAGTATTTGGCTCTGTGCCTAACATAGTATCGAATGGTTATAACTACAAGTCAGTTGGGGTAGGAGAGGGGTTGAATACAAGGAAGAAATCCTTTCTTCACTACTTGGTACTATCAAGAGGGGAATTTCTGAACTTCTGCATGGTGGGTATTAAAGGACCAGGCATTTAAAGATTTTTTTTCCCATTAGAAATAAGAACATTGGGGGCTTCCCTGGTGGTTAGGAATCCACCTGCCAATGCAGGGGACACAGGTTTGAGCCCTAGTCCGGGAAGATCCCACATGCCACGAAGCAACTAAACCCATGCGCCACAACTACTGAGCCTGCGCTCTAGAGCCTGTGAGCCACAACTACTGAAGCCAGCGCTCCTAGAGCCCGTGCTCCGCAACAAGAGAAGCCACTGCAATGAGAAGCCTGTGCACCGCAACGAAAAGTAGCCCCCGCTCTCTGCAACTAGAGAAAGCCCGCGCACAACAACGAAGACCAAACACAGCCAAAAATAAATAAATAAAATAAATAAATTTATAAGTAAGCACATTGGAATACTTGTATACTTCTAATTAGAAGATGTAAAATAGATGCTTAACAAAAATATTTTTCTCTCCCTGAGATAATTATATTGATAAAGATCTTCAGAGAAAGAAAGAAGTGGGAAGAATTGATAGCAGATGATCTACTCTGCCTCCCCCACCTGCTCTTGCATCTCATTTCTCACCCTGGATGTCTGCTACCTTCAGGACCCGTTAACATGGCTGTTTTTCGCCAGCACTATGTTCCTAGGCAAGGAGTCTGCTTTCCCAACTTACTTTGAATTCTATAAGGTAGGTTTGGGAGGAAGCAGGAGAAAATTAATCAACAAAAAGGAAATAGTTACTTACAGGTTTTTCCAATTCAATAGTGTAGTTTTTTCCTACACTCATCACTTTGTAGTGCTTGATTCTTGGCAGGCTAAAAAAAAAAGAAAGTTCATCTTCATTTAAGTATACTATTGGGTCAAATCAAAATAAAGTGAGTATAAAATATCACCTGTACAGTAAAACTATGTTCCCATTACTCTAGTTTTCTATGTCTCTTTTTGGGGGTTTATACACTAGGGATATAGGAAACCTGGGTCATTGAGTGGATGCATGAGAAAGAATGAGATGAAAAAAGGAATCAAGAACTGAAGACCTTTCAGGCAGAAACGTTTTTTAAATGCCAGTAATTTATAAAGTAGACAATATTATAAAATCCTATGTAGGTATGTATACGTCAAATCTATATTCTCTATATTAAAAGGGAAGTAGAAAGAATTACTGAAAGCAAATTACTTTCTTCATCACTATTCCTATCAGAATGCCCTCAATAGCTGTTCTTCCTGCTAGCCATATACCACCGTAGATAATCTGCCAACTTCAGGGCTGACTTAGAGATATGGACATGGTAGGTGTTAAGTATTATACAAACATATAGGTGAGAATGTAAGTATAGTAGGTGAATCCTAATGTCTTCCTTTTATGTAGTGACATAGCACTAAATTATTAGCACCCTAGAGATATGGTACTTTTTTACTAGAACTGCTTAAGAATAAGGAGCACATTCAATTCACTTTTGTACTCCAGCATTAGGCACACAGTAAATATTTATAAAACTGAATTTTAAAAAATATTTGGGGGACTTCCCTGATGGCGCAGTGGTTAAAGATCCACCTGCCAATGCAGGGTACACAGCTTCAAGCCCTGGTCCGGGAAGATCCCACATGCTGCGGGCAACTAAGCCCGTGCACCACAACTACTGGGCCTGTGCTCTAGAGCCCGTGAGCCACAACTACTGAAGCCCACACGCCACAACTACTGAAGCCCACGTGCCTAGAGCCCACGCTCTGCAACAAGATAAGCCACCACAATGAGAAGCCTACACACTGCAACAAAGAGTAGCCCCCACTCGCCAAAACTAGAGAAAGCCCGTGTGCAGCAACAAAGACCCAACACAGCCAAAATAAATAAATAAATAAATTTATTTATTTAAAAAAAATATTAGGAACCCATCTAATAGTGCTGTTTGCTAGAACTAATTTATACTGAGAGCAGAAATCAGTATGTTTGCCTTGATTCATATGGCAGTAGTGTCAGGACCAAGACTTTTTCTAATGTTGAAAAGTTAATAGCATTTATTACGCCTCCATTGCTTGAAAGACAAACTAATTCAACATCTGTCCAGTTTATAGAAGCTGCCTGAGAAAAATTGTTTATCAGGTTAAGTTTGTCTACAAGGCCTCCCACGTTCTTTTTCATCACTCCTCTCTCCATTTCCAGGTCACATTCCTCTGGGACTGAACTACAATTCTCCTTAAGGGACTCTTTCATCATCTACTGTGATATCCAAATCTCTTAATTGGATATCACATTGGAAAACAGCTAATAATTTTTTCCAATCACTTTAGAGCTTTATTCTCAAAACATGGGATAAAACCTAACCAACCCTCTTCCCTCCTAAAGAAAACCAAAAATAATTTCCTAGTGCTGAACCTTCAGGAATCATTCACCGGCTGGTGAAGGAAAACTTCGGATGGAGGAAATCCTACAAGTACCCTCTTTTGGGGTGGCTGGCTCTGGCCTTGTCTTTGTCTCTACATGAAAAGACCTTTATAATCATACTCTTGAAAACTCTCACCAATTCCCATTAGAATTCTTTTATTCCTATGACATAAGTGATTATTATTCCTTGGAAGACTGATAGAAAGCTTGAAAGGCATGGCCTTTATAACCAGAAAGATCTAGGTTCAAATTCTGGTTCTGTTGTATGAACTCTCTGAGCCTCATTTCTTCACCTATAAAATGGAAATGGTGATGCCTGTTTCACAGTGCTGTTGTGAATAAATGTGTGAAAAATCCTTACTATTGTACAATGTCTGTCACATGTAGACAGTAAATTATAACTATTTTTTACTACTTTTTAAATGCATTTTTTGAACTTAGTAGTTTCTGTAATTCTCAGTTTCTTCACTTGTAAAACATGGAAAATACTGTCTGTCTCAGTTTTTATTGTGCCTGAAGGAAATGTTTGTCAAGCACTTAACAGAGCACCCACAAATGTACCCCATAAGTGGGGACAGTGATTGTTAATAATAGCCATCATATCATCATCATCATCATCATCATCCATGGCAAAGCTGTGGGAGAAAAAGCAGCAATAGTTAACAGAGTCTCTTGGAACTCTTAACTAATAGGACTAAGTGCTAAGGCAGAAAATAAGGTAGAAAAAAAATTCCATTGAAGTCGCTTAGGTTTTGACTCTCATTTCAGACCTGTGTTTTTCTTTCATATTTTTTTTCCAAAGGAATAAAGAGGGGGAAAAAACTAGATTGATAAAATTTGCTATATTGAGGTTTCCTGATTACAACCTCAAAAAAGAAGTAACCTGTCTTTAAAAAGAAATATGTGGCCTTAAATATGGTTATAAATACTGTTCTTAGCTCCTGACCCCAATTTTTGCAGAGGAATGAATTTTGGGTAAATATTTTCTATTGCTTTCTTGGCTAATGGCTTTCCAAAGTGTTTATACTTCTAGCTTGCCACGTACTCATAACAATTTTAAGAAAACAAAACCAAATTATGAAGTTTGTTGTAAGAATAGCTTTATGTCTTATGAATTCACACACCACTGGACTGGGTAAAAGTGGATGATATTTTGCATCAAGAGAGGAGTCACCTGATAATTTGCCATTGAAGGACTTTTGCTTCTTCCTGAGAACTAAAATCTTTTCTCCCACAGTTGATTTGTTAACAGATGGAGATAATTTTACTTTCAAGTACTGCTTTGTAAACCAACTTGTCCTTTTTAGCTAGTGTTTTACCAGGCACACTGGTCTAAACTTGCATGGCTGAACATTTCTCCTACAACCTGTAAGAGAGTGAATTGGTTTTGTGGGTAACACAGGTGCTTCCTAATAGTCTAGATTTCTGCCAAAGTCTTTACAGACTACTGCAATACAGTCTAACCAGCTAAACTTCTACTACTCTCTACAACTGCTATTCTTTAAAATTGTGACCTGTTAAACAGAATATATTAAATCCAGACATTTCAAAAGACCTATTTTGAGGCATTAGAGAACACATAATGATAATCCTTAACATCATAGATATATCTGGCTCATAAGGAATATTTGTGCAAAAACAGTTAAAGTTTTTCCTAGCCACTTTCAGATATAAACTATTCCCCAAAGCCTAAATAAGCACATACTGACTCCCCTGTTAGAATGCTCTAGTTTGACCACTCTACCTCACTCCTTGCTTTCTAAATATAAACGTTTCTTGAGAGTGGAGGGATGATCAGTTTTATGAAATGTCATAAACTTTTATGACTATTAGCTGTACAAGCATGAATTTCTATGTGAATTTAAACTGGAAGTATGTTTACTAAAAATAGACATGTAATTTTGATATGAACTCCTTTGCCAGACTCTAATGAGGTTAAATATAACTTAAATACAATATGAATAAACACTGTGACATTAGATCTATATCCTAAGTATAGAAACTCATTGCATTTGGTCACAACCCATATTTACAACAGAAAACGCTGTTATTTCTCATAGCTCACTCGTGCGGAAAATGCAAATCAAAAGTTGGACTAATTTAGACCACCTTAAAAGAGATCTTGCTTCTATTGTGCAGGAAATATAAAAGTCTTTAAAGAGCCATTAGATCTCAGGATTTTGTTTATTTCATGCAGAACAGTAGCACAGGGTTCACATACAAATGGATCAAACACTCAATCCAACCAAGAAAAGTATGAAAGAAAAAAGTCACTTCCTTGTGTGATCTAATTTAACTTTCAATCAGTTAGATTAAATTTCTTTTTTAAAAAATCTGTGAGAGCTGCATAGCCAGAGAGATCAGCTCCGTGCTTTGTGACCACCTAGAGGGGTGGGATAGGGAGTGTGGGAGACACAAGAGGGAGGAAATATGGGGATATATGTATATGTATAGCTGATAACACACCATTGTAAAGCAATTATACTCCAATAAAGATCTTTAAAAAAAATTTTGTGAGATAATTTTTTTTGCTAATTAAGAATTATTAAAATTTTTTAAAATTTCATTTACAAAACCTTAAGGTGGCTCAGAATAAAACCCAAAAGATATGCAGTACTTTATTAAAAAATATGTAAAACGTTATTGAAGGGCATTAAAGAAGAGTTAAATATTGACACACAAGAGGACAAGATCTCCAGGTAACAATATGGACTAATCCAAAAGCATGTCCTCAGGGTAAACATGAAGTTGTGGGTTGGTGAGTACAATATATCACTTCCATAAAACTTAAAAACATAAAACAATGCTATACAATAACTGTGGGACAAACATATGTAGAAAAAGGAGAAAGTAACCTAAAGTGTGTACCTTCCCAGGACAGTGGTTGGGGGTGGGGAATGCGTATGGCGCGAGGCGGGCAGATATGGAGTGTTTGGTTTGTCTCAGGGAGGATTTGAAACACGGCAGTCTCAGCTTCAGATCTGACGCTAACAATTCCTCTAGGCTCTATGCCAAGTTCGTGGACTGCTGGTGGAGAAGGGCCAGAGGTTCAGGGTACCTGCCTCCCACCCCGACCCCTACCGCTGCCCTCGACCCAGCTTCTAGCTGAGACCGGCTCCATCCGGTCACTGCCCTGATCAGATGCTCCTCAGGTAAGAGGCGGGCCCAGGAGCCACCTCGCCATGGACCTGGGTTCAGCTGTGTGACTTTGGGCAGGCTGCTGCCCTCCACAGGCTTCATTTTCGAATTTTGTAAAATGGGATGGTATGTGGAATAAATCTGAATTCAGTTTTGTATCCTCTTATTTTTTAAAGTGGAAGTAAACAGTTAAAAGACATTCTGTATTTTATGTGATATTCAATTTCCTAAACCCAAAAAAGGACAGACTCCTTTACCAGGATATACTAAATAGAAAATTTCACTTTTCTCCCAGGAGTTCTTATAAGCTCACTGATATTTAATGCCAGTCATAACTTTTATTTGTTTTGGATTTGTTTCAAGGTAGCCAATTAAATTATAAATCAAGTAAATTATCATGAATAATCCATGATATTCTATCATATTAGTTGAAAAACCCTTAATTCCAAATGTTAGCCTATAATAAACAGAAAAAAAAATGAAACCACAAGATGATTAAGCTGACATAGATATTCATTGTGGAAAAATACACACACATACACACAAACACACACACACAGATTCTCTTACTTCACACAGACTCAGGATCTGATTTACCATCTAACATTCTTGCCACATGGCTAGTGTATAAAGACAAGTCTCTGTATATATGAAGTAATTGGCAAGTGAATGAAGCTTCTTGGGTTGTAGCTCATACTAGCATTGCAGCCACATGCCATAATTTTAATTTTGTCCTATAAGTGACTATTTTCTTTTTACTGCCTTTATTCACTTGCCAGTGTCTTCATATTTAATCTATTTAGAATTATTGATATTTATATATGGATCAGTAGCTAGATTCCTAGATAGATGTGTTATAGCTTAAAAAAAAATAGAATATTATCCACAGAAAGAATGGCAAATTCAAGAATCAAAGTTCTGTTTAAGCTCTTATATGAAAGATAATCATGTACTGAATATTTTCATTTAGGACAAAAATCACTATATTTCAATTATATTATCAGTTGTAAAAATGTTAACTAAGCCAGAGTCCCTATTGAAATGCAAGTTTTTATAGACTCTGAGGGAAGGAGTAGACTTTAAAAGATACAATCACCATGGCTACACAGAAGAATCAACTTTTGCATGTAAATGTTACTGACTTTATCAAAGGTAAACCATTTCACTAGAAAGAAATTATTAACCTTAACAAGAGGCTCCTAAGTGATTCTTTTTATAGAAAAGTCAGATTATGTCACTTCTTTATTCATCAGAGGCCAATGGCCTCTCATTATCATTCACAGTATAACCCTTTTCCCTACAATGACCTGTAGGGCTTAGAGCTGTCAGCCCTACCCCCACCTCTGGAATCTCATCTCCTAACCCTTTCTCCTTGCTCACTCTACTGTAGTCCCAGTGGCCTCTTGTGGTGTTGTTGTTCTTTTTTAAACTCCAAGTGTTTTTTTTCTTATTTTTTAAAAATTATTTATTGATTTATTTATTGGCTGTGTTGGGTCTTCATTGCTGCGTGTGGGCATTCTCTAGTTGCGGAGAGCGGGTACTACTCTTCGTTGAGGTGTGTGGGCTTCTCAGAGCGCAGTCTCAGTAGTTGTAGCACACGGGCTTAGCTGCTCCACGGCATGTGGGATCGTCCGGGACCAGGGCTCAAACCCATGTCCCGTGCATTGGCAGGCGGGTTCTTAACCACTGCGCCACGAGGGAAGTCCCTGGCCTCTTGTTTGTGAACAACCCAAGCCTTCTCCTACCTCTAGCCTTATGCACTGGTTGCCTGGAATGCTCTTGTCCTACACATTGGTATGGTTTGTTCCCTCACTTCCTTCAGGTCTCTGCCTAAATGTCAGTTAACAAAGGAGGATTTCCTTGACCACTCTATATTAAATAAACAACAACAGCAACCAGAAAAAATTTCTCTCTATATGACCTCTGAGAGTTCCCATCTCCCTCATCCTGCTTTATTACTTCCATAGACCTTATCATCATATACATGATTTTTTTTTTTCTTTTTTTTTTTTTGTGGTACACGGGCCTCTCACTGTTGTGGCCTCTCCCATTGCAGAGCACAGGCTCCGGACGCGCAGGCTCTGGACGCACAGGCTCAGCGGCCATGGCTCACGGGCCCAGCCGCTCCGCGGCATGTGGGATCTTCCCGGACCGGGGCACGAACCCGTGTCCCCTGCATCAGCAGGCAGACTCCCAACCACTGCGCCACCTGGGAAACCCCTGCACTTCTTATTTTATAGTAAATATTATAGTCAATGAAAAGTCTATTTTTCAGCAGAAAAAGATTTGGCAGTATATACAGTACACCAAGATGTTGAAAGAGAATATCTCTGAGTGGTGGGACAAGGAATAATTTTAATTTTCTTTCATTTATCTAATAAATATGCATTACTTTTTTATTGAGGAAAAAAAGAAAAAGAAAAAGCAGTCTAGATGCCTTTTAACCTATCAGTCCATCAGTTGTCCCTGGTTTCAGCTGAGTGATGGCTAGCAGGTTTCATTGATTATAGTACAGAAAGAATACACATCAGAACCTGATGTCAAAGATGGTACCAGGACAAGTTTCATTGACAAGAAGATGAAGATTCCAGAGTTCACAGTCTTAGTCACATTTTTCAACAATATAAGAGTTAAAAAACAAATGTAGCCTGTTGCTGACTTCAGGATGTTCTGTGCCTCTTCATTTCCAACAACACCTTACCACTTTACACATGTCTTCCTCAAAGTACGAGCCCAAGACTAATCACTGATTGATCAATTGAATAAAGCATTCAGGTATTTTAAATCTTTGGTATAATTTCCTGGTAGAAACTCAGTCAATCATAGAGTTGCATGGTGAAAAAACCTCTTTCCTTCCTTCTACATAGCAGTTTTATTTAGGTTTGTTCTTTGGAAAAAAATCTATTTAGTCTAAAGGTGTGGGTGGAGGGAGATTTCCTGTGTGGTAAGAGGCTTGGTTCAAATCTGCATTTTGCATTTTGTGATATGACATAGAGGAAATGTGACATGTACTCATAGATATACTGTATATCCACAAGACAACTTATTGTCCCTGGTTTAACGAGTCCAGTGACTAACTCTCCTTGATAATTAGAAATTAATTTTAACAATCTAATAAGTAAACTGAAGTTCATGGTGCACTTATGCTGGCATAGGGTTCAATACATCCACATAATCTTCAATTGGTTCCTTCCCTTTTTCAGGAAATGAACTCAGTGTCCGCTCTGTCTCAATTCTCCTTTTCTTTTCCCTAAGGCTTCATGCAGTCTAATTACTTGCCCAGGAAGGAGTGACACATGTAGGGGAACTGACATCTGAAACCAATTAAAGCCGTAGGCAAACAAGAAAGACAGCAGAGTAACTGGTTTTAGCAAAGATGAGCCTGTTCTGGTCCTAAGGAGCTTCTGTTACCTGACAGAGATGGATGGATTGTACCATGAATAGAGGATCTTGGTGTTTTAGAACTGCCTCTAAACCAGCTAGAACCTGCACAGGGCGCCTGACTAGAAAGAAACATTCCTTTTGATCTGGTCCAAAGCTAAGTATACTCACCTGGCACCACAAGCTGATTCAAGTAACATCAAACCTCTCATTTTTTATTCTGAGCTCGCTGGATCTCACTGCCAGGGAAGTCCTGGAGTGCCCGCAAGTTGCCCGGCTGTCCCACAGATAACCTGGAATAAGTTCCACCAACCATATGGCAACATGGGGTCAAGATGGAACTGTTCTTTAAATGACTGAGAATCAGCAATGAGAGGTCTATATTTTCGTGTGTTTGTGTTTTGAATTTTCACTCACACATTAGGATTATGATACTGCTCTATTAAATTTTTAAAAAATCTTTTCTAGAAATGTGTTTGGATTAAGTCACCTATATTCTCCTGATCTATATTCATACCCCTAATTTAGACTTCATTATGACCAGCTATGTACTCTTAGAAGTTATAATCTAAATGGTAGAATATTTTTCTTCATGTGACACAACCTAGCCTATATTTTGAGGCAGCTGTGTCTGAATATCATCTTGATCTCCAGAGTGGGGTGCACGCTTTCCAGGGGGTGTATAAGAAAGTCCTTTGGAGTCTGGGAAGAAAACACTAGAACTTCATTTTCTATTTACACATTATCTTATTAATTCCTATTATTGTTTATATTTTATCACATGTATGTATATATATGAAATTTGAGACTATCCTTCTGCATAACTAATAATCAGTAAGTCTATTTCCCTTATATACCAATCCTGAAAAAAATAATAGAATGAGGAAAAACTAATGAAGCAGCTGTTCCTTATTAATTACCTATTATGTCCCAAGCATTATGCTATTGCAAATCCTCACAGCAATGCTACAAGATAGGTATTGTTATCCCTACTTTACAAATTTAAAAAACAGGCTCAGAAAGATTAAATAACTAGTCCAGAGTCACATAGCTAGAAAGTTGTGGAACCAGGACTCAAACTCCAGTTTAATTAATTCAAAAGCAATGTCTCTGCACTTTGAACTATAGTCTGTGTTTCTCAAACTTCTACTAAAGTTGCCCTAACAACAGCATGGTATAAATGTATATACAGAGTGATCTGGGAACATAGTAAAAGACAATATTTATAGAGCACAACATTAGAGGCAAATTGTTATCTTTTGATAATTCACATGAATTTTATTTTAATTCTGTACCATATCTATGTACCTTATAATTTAAAAAATAATGCTTTTTATCCTTACCTCAAGGAAAAAACTAAGAACAAATCTTTTTGGCCAAAATGTCAAGTATAATTAGTGTTCTAGGAAGATGCACCCCAAGTTTTTTCCGGTGGTTTTAGTGTATTCCTTGACACCTAATCACATACACTTGGTATGTCTGTATCCCAGTGTAAGAAGTGCCAGGCCAAACACACGATGATGCCTTTCCACAACAGAGGGAGGGAATGTGTTTCTCCCTCCCCTTAAGTCAATATGCCTTTCACATATCTAACGGTCCCACTCTTCTACCTTCCTATGACTTTCCTACATGGTAGTTGACCCTCAAACTTTTACTTGTTTTTGGCTGAGAGAAAGAACCAGCATCCATCATCTTGGTAAAGTGCAGTCCTTATTTCATGTGAATGCAAGCCCTTTACTTAGAAACTAGCTTTGGATAAAGTCTGTATTTAACTGACCCTAACAAACATTGGAAGTTTTCATGTCCTCTAAGAGTATTAGAAAACATGGTGCTCCTTAGGGAGCTGGTCAGTTATCAAAGTACTTCATGTTTATTAGACAGTTGCTACAGTAGTTTTATTTAAAATAATGGTAGTTATTTAAAATAATGGTAGTTAACAAAAACAAAAAAAACAAAAAATAATGTCCTTCCTACCTCTGTTATCGTGAGAATGAAGCCTCTCCATTCTTCCCCACTTTCTGTGCTCTCTGTCTAAAGATGTAGACAAAAACAGATAAAGACAAAAAAAAGAAAACACATGAATGACTATGAACACTAATACTTTTATTAACTTCAAGTAACTTTAGAATTTCATATGATTGTTTTATAAGTCTCGAAATAGTGTAAGCCATCAAAACCCAGCAAGATTGACAAAATGCATATTCTTCTATTGAAGCACATTGCTTTAAAAAGTCAATTGTATTTTTAAACCACTTACAATCAGTTAAAAGGAAGAAATAATTCATTTTTCTTTGTGCTTAGAATTATTAATGTGTATTTGTTATGAAATATTTCAATAATTTCTTTTGTAGGAAGTACATAGCTTTAATCTGTTTGCTTATTAAACAAATAAAATTTTACATATTAGCTCGAAAAAATTTAAATGTTAGCACACTTATTTCTTTAGTATGTCAATTCATGGTTACTCGCCCCATTGGTATTTTTTTCTTTTTCTTCTTTTTTTGTGGTATGGGGGCCTCTCACCATTGTGGCCTCTCCCGTTGCGGAGCACAGGCTCCGGACGAGCAGGCATGGCTCACGGGCCCAGCCGCTCCACGGCATGTAGGATCCTCCCAGACCAGGGCACGAACCCGTCCTGCATCAGCAGGCGGACTCTCAACCACTGCGCCACCAGGGAAGCCCCCCACCATTGGTATTTAACACTAACTGGCTTTAAGTTTGAGGCAACCAGGTAGGACCAATGTAGTTACTTCCCATTACCTTAGTAGTTAGTAAGTTACCTTAAAAACTTCCAATTCTTAGCTCTAAATATTACTAATACAGCCAACATTTATTAAGTGCTTACAAGTGGCACTGTTCTAAGCGCTTCACATATATTAGCTGATTTAATCATGACAATTTTGCAAAAAGTACTCTTTTTAAAATTTCATTTTATAGATTTATTCATTTAGCAGATACTCACTGAGTGTCTTTAAGTTCTGGGCACTATTCTATGTACTGGTTTACATCAGAGAATAAAACAAAAATACTTATTCTCATAGGGTTTAGGGTCTAGCAAGGGGCAATAAATAATAAACATAATAGTGAGTAAATGTTATAGTGTCAGATGGAAATAAATGAGAAAATGTAGAGAAGAGTTAAAAGAGATTGGGAATGCCATTAAGGGTTTGGGGAGGGGAAAAGAGTTGCAATTTTAATAAAGTGGCCTAGGTAGGCCTCAGTAAGAGGGTTACATCTGAGTAAAGACTTATGGGTGAAGAAACCAAGGCAATAAAGAGGGTAAGTAAATTGTCTACAATTACACACTAACAAATAAAACAGCTTGTAGTGGGATAACTGAGGACATGGAAAGGAGACGTGACCCATGAGCACCCCCCAGCAAACTGGGGGCTGGCGAATAAGCCAGAACTGCAAACAGTCCTGATTGCTTTGAGCCCCCCCGGCAAACCGGGGGCATGCGAATAAGCCAGAGTTGTGAACAGTTCTGAATGCTTCGAGTGCCCCCCCCGGCAAACCGGGGACCTGCAAAAGAAATATTGAGTGCTTTGGGCACTGATCCATGAGATGTCCTCAGTATAAACAGAGTGGTGGAAACGCAAGGAGATGTCCTTGTGCTAGTTCAGTATAATCAAAATAATGGTGGGAACTTTGTGCTGTTCTTGCGCTCAAGGATGAAGCACGGCAGGTGCTCACGAAAGCCAATTATTGCTTGTATAACTAATAAAAACATAGGTTGCTGCTTTGGCACTTCTGAAATGTTAAGAAAACAAGTCTTAAAGTGTAAACCTAGATAATGCTTTAATAAAAGTTACCACAGCAAGACAGACGGCGCTGTTTTGCCTGAGCGAGCGGCAGCCCTCTACTGCTGTGCTTTGGCACAATTCATCTCGTGTGATGAGCTTACTTTCGGCCCTGTCCTAAGAAACTACAACAACAGCTAGAGTTCAAATCTAGGCATTTAATTCCAATCCTGTGCTCTAAATCACCACATCAGAATCATCCAGGGAGCTTGCTTAAAATGCAGATTCAGAGGCCCCGGTTTGGGGATGTGGCCTTATATTTCCTACATACGAGTGATTCCTGGTACACTAAAGCTTTATGACCACTGCTTTCAAGGTAAATCCAAGTACATCTTATTCAGTTGCAAGTTATTCTCTTTATGTTGTAGTTGTTGGTTGACTTTCCTTGGCTCACTTTCAATGCCAATTCAAGAAAAAAATCTTTTCCCATATAGGTGCTGGGTATACAGTGGTGAGTTTAACAAACAGATCTCTGCCTGTGTGGAATTTAGCATTTTTTGAGATCATGCTTTCACTGCTGAGGGCACGCATTAAATCCCTGGTCAGGGAACTAGGATCCGGTAAGTCACATGGCATGGCCAAAAAATAAATAAAAATACAAATAAATAAACCAAATTAATGGAAAACCAGTTCAACAGCCACTGTAAGTTGCTTTGGTTTGTCAATTTGCAAGTCAATTAATCCTTAATATACCAATGTTCAAATTATGTCTCCCCCCAGCCCCAAACCTACAAAATGGCAAAAATCCTGCTAAAATATTATTGTCCAGTTAGACCTGTCCACAACTTCCAACATCATTGTACCACTGCACCATTACAACAGAAATCCTCTTATAGAGATCTCAAGTTTTAGGTGGTGAATAATGAATTTATAGGTAAGAAAATGTAGTAGAAAAAGTGTTTGGGCAGAGGGAGAGAAGCCAATTTTGCTAGTAACCAGCTCTAGACCTTGAACAAACCAGTTAACTTCTCTGGGACAACAGCTTCTTCACTTCTTGTCTGAAGAGCTGCAATAGGCTTCTTTCCAAGTAGCCTCTTACTTTCCACTCTTTTTCTCTCTGAATCATTTACAATGTAGTGTAATCAAGTTATTCCCCGGTTTCAAACATTTTAATGAATTCTCAGTGCTTTCAGATTCATTCTTTTATTTTTTCATCAGCACTAAATATTTATTGAGCACTAACAATGTGCTCAAGCATCACAAGGTCATTTGTAATAGGGCCCTTTTAAATCGAGACTCCTTAAAAATACTCTCTCTTCTAGTAAATTTGGTTACTCCCAGTTGTCTTAATACCTCATGGTCTTTCCCATCACCTCATACCTTTCCAATCACTGTACACCTTGCTTCAGTACTCTTCCTTCTTCTTGTTAATACAACTCCCTACTTACCCTTGAAGACCCAGATTGAATATATCCTTCTCTATGAAGATTTCCTGAAGCCTTCCCCATTCCCAAGAGGAATGTTTATCACTCTCACCCTGCATTCCCATAGCATTTTATGCATTTTTAATTACAGTGTTTGCCCCATTGTATTTTAGTTATTGGTATAGCCTCTGCATCAATAGGAAATGGAGTTTTTCAAATACAGGGGTTGTGTTGAAGTCAAGGTTGATAAGAAGTAGATTGCAGTAACCATTTATTAAATGAATAACTTCCAGCTGAAAAGTTTTATGATTCTAATTTGGAGAGTTCTTAGCCTCCACTGTGACAGGAGTTTCTTTTTTCTGATATATGTGAACATTGGTTGACATATGATTCTTTTGTTGCCATGTATAACAATCATGTTATTATCAAATTCTTGAAAATACACCAAAATCCAGCTATTATAGCCATCATCAGCATCTGTGTCACAGGAATTTGCTATACATCAGGATATATGAAAAATATAACTGAAAACTTTGAGTGAAGTATAATGGATTAACTCATATAAAATCAAAATCTCAGTGCTCTTTTGAGCCATCTATGTTATAATACAATTAAAGTGAATGAATGCACATTTTCAATAATATTTAAGGATCTCTAAAATACTTTACTATCCATTTGATTCAATCAGTAAACATGAATAGGAGCCTCCAATCCCTTTCCAGTACTTCTAAATTTCTGACCTTTGTTTTACTTAATGTTTATTGACGATTTGTCATTTGCATCACAATTCATTGCAGTAAATTTTGAAGATATGTGAACTGTATACATTTATGTTTACAATCCATAAGTGAAAACACAGCTTTAATTTTAATGATTATGTGAAAACTTTGTGCCATAGTGAGTCATTATTACTCAGAAAATGTTTCTGCTAGGTCTTTTGGGACCGAAAAAAAAAGAAAGGTAAAGAATCACTGTTAGCCAGAGAAGTGACATTAGTAGCTGTCAGAGTGGTTTAACTCGCTAAACTTATTAACTGTAGGTTGGTGCCTTACCTCCATTCCAACCCCTTCTAGTGTGTCATTCTTTACCACAAAGACTGAAAAGCTAAAAACTACATTTTCCAGACTTCTTTGCAGTTAGAGAGGGTATGCATTCAATGTTGGCAAGGCGGAGGAGAGACAGAATTCATTCTTTCCCAGCCTTTGGTTTTTCTATAGGCGATTACGGTCTGTAGGCATCTGATTTTTCTGTGGCAATGTTATAAGAAGTCCCAGTGTCTGATCACTAGTTTCATGGGTGTTGATAGTCAAGGCATGGAACAGTGGTTTTCTGATAATGATCGGTGTGAAGTACAGTGTGCTTCTGAAGCCAGAAGCAGTAAGGAGGCTTCTTGCTCAGGAGGCTTCTTATCTGTGGTGGCTTTCTTGACATGGCAGTTTTGTAATTATGGTGGCTTTCTGATTATGCTATGTCAATATGGTTCTGCAGACTCCAGCATTAGGACCAACTTCCCAGTTTTCAGTTTGCTTCATGCAGCTGGCTCTTGGTGGGTCAGTTCTGCAGTGTATCTTTGGGAATCATTCCTGAAAGCCCCAAATACATTATTTCTCCATCCCCCCCAACAATTATGTAAGCAGACAAATGCCTAAATTAGCTATCATGAATTTATGTAACTTACCCCCAGATCAATACAGTTTTCCAATGTCTATAGGAAGAGGTGAAAAGTTATCCTAACATTGGAGGTGCTCCATAATCTAGTTCCATTTTGCAAACATAAGCACCTTTTCAATATCTCACAAATTTTCTGTGTCAACAGCACATCATTTCTGCCTCACATCTTTGCTTGCAGTTTGTCTTCCTATTTCTTTCATCTTGTAAATCTCTTTCTGTTAGGTATTGCCAGCAAGCTACAGTTTTGGCATTTTATTGTTTACAAATTTCTATAGGCACTTGAATTTACAAATATCTTATATATCATTTCCTGTGCATACTTAGCTTAAAATAATTTCTTATTTTTTTCTAATTATAAGTGGAAAACTTATATACGTCTCAGACAAAATAGAGAAACAATGAAAATCACATGTTATTTCACCATCCATACCATTAGCACTGTTTGGATGGGTACCAATCACTTTTTTGGCACTTTTTCTCTATTTGTATATATTTATGTAATCAAGTAAATACTGTAATGATACTTGATAAACTGCATTTTTCAAATAATGTATCCAGAGCACATTTCCAGGTCAATAAGTATGAAGGTACATTATTTAAATTTTTGCCCAGTACTATCAAAGTAATTTAAGTCTTTGCAAGGTTAAAATTATAATGCAGAACTATATCAAACTTTTGAAAATGTAAGTATGTTTTAAATTACAAAAGCTCCTTTTTATGAGATAAGAATTACATTGACTAGAAGTAAACTGGAGGCTACAGAATGGAGACTTAAGGAATAGAGATTTGTTGTCCCCCGTGTTCCTGTTAAGAGAAACAATGTATATATAATAAAGTATAATTGCAACTAAGAATCAAATGGTTGGTGTCAAGGTGACTTAGGAAACTTAACACTGGTCAGTTTATACAGCACTTTAAAATTACCAACTCAGTGCAGACCTTTAAGACCCTGTGCATAACATTGTTTTTTGTTTTGTTTGTTTGTTTGTTTTTTGTGAACGTTGCCGCCACGTATCTGCATATTGCAAGCATACTTTATTAACTTGGCAATTACAGTCCAGTAGAACCTTTGAATCCGAGAATAATTTTGTCAGAAAGGGCTACTAAAGTGACTGTACTTAACAGATGGAGTAAGAACATGAAGAGTAAGGACATTCTCTTACATCAACAATAGCATTATAATATCTAAGAAAATTTACAACCCTGTCATGCGATAATCGATATTTTAGTTTTCCACTGTTGCTTAAAGCTCTGTATAGCTTCTTTGATCTTAACCAGACTCTGATCAAAACTCACACATTGCATTTGGTTGCTATGTTTTTCTCTCTCTCTGTCTCTCTCATGTTCTTAATTTTTCAAGTCAAGTTAATTGAGGTATAATTTACAGCAAAAGTTACCATTTTTTGAGGAGCACAGTTCTAAGAGTTTTGACAAATACATATAGTCAGGTAACCACCACCATAAGCAAGACATAAGTTACTTCCACCACTGCAGAAAGTTCCCTCCTGGCTCTTTGCAGTCAGGGTCTTCTTCCGCCATGACATCCATCCTCTGGTAACCAGTGATCTCATTTCTGTTCATATAGTTTTATATAGTCATGTACAGGGACTCATACAGCAGATGGCCTTTGATGTCTGGCTTCTTTCACTTAGCATGATTTTTTTTTTTTTTTTTTTGCGGTACGCGGGCCTCTCACTGTTGTGGCCTATACCGTTGAGGAGCACAGGCTCCGGACGCACAGGCCCAGCGGCCGTGGCTCACGGGCCTAGCCGCTCCGCGGCATATGGGATCTTCCCGGACCGGGCACGAACCCGTGTCCTCTCAACCACTGCGCCACCAGGGAAGCCCGATTTTTTTTTTTTTTTAATATTTATTTATTTGGCTGTGCTGGGTCTCAGTTGTGGCATGCGTGCTCTTGGTTTTGGCATGCGGGGTCTAGTTCCCTGACCAGGGATCAAACCCGGGTCCCCTGCATTAGGAGAGCAGTCTTTTTTTTTTATTTTAATTAAAAAAATTTTTTTTTATACAGCAGGCTCTTATTAGTTATCAATTTTATACACATCAGTGTATACATGTAAATCCCAATCTCCCAATTCATCACACCCCCACCCCCACCCGCTGCTTTCCCCCCTTGGTGTCCATACGTTTGTCCTCTACATCTGTGTCTCTATTTCTGCCCTGCAAACTGGTTCATCTGTACCCTTTTTCTAGGTTCCACATATGTGCGTTAATATACGATATTTGTTTTTCTCTTTCTGACTCACTTCACTCTGTATGACAGTCTCTAGATCCATCCACGTCTCTACAAATGACCCAATTTCATTCCTTTTTATGGCTGAGTGATATTCCATTGTATATATGTACCACATTTTCTTTATCATTGGGAGCTCACAGTCTTAACCACTGGACCACCAAGGAAGTCCCTCAGTATGTACTGAGATTCACCTGTGTTGCTGTGTGCCTCAGTAGTTTATTTTTACTGCTGAGGAGTATTCCACAGTATGGATGCATTGCAATTTATTTATTCATTCACCAGTTGATGGGCACGTTGCCAGTTTGGGTCCATTATGAATAAAGAAAATTTTAAGTTGTAATTGCAACTATGTTATAATTTCTAGAACAAATTGATTTTTGGAGTGTCATTTTTAAGGTCTATTCTTTAAGATAATTTTAACAATTACAAATTTGAAATTATCTGCAACATAAAATCATAAGTAACTAAAAGTTTCTACTTCTCTTTCAAGCTAAATTTCTGTATACCTTTTTCTCCATATACACATCTAATACACATAGTTCCATGGATACATAAACACACACACACACACACACACACACAAACACACACACACACACACACGCACACCCCTTACATAGATAAGTAGTTGTGATGGAAAACTTCAAGATTTTAGTCAGCTGTCGTGGCAATTCATAGGGATTGATCTTAATGGTTTTTTGGAGGGGAGGGGCCTGTAATGACAAATCTGGGTTTTATAAACATTACTCCATCAACTAGCAACCCTATTTTAGGATGCTAAAATTATGGAGGGGCTAGTAAATACTAAGACAGATGCAGAGGGAACTGAAAAGTTTGGGAACTGTGGAATCTGCATAACTTTTTATTTTCATAAGGGTGCAGCTCCAATTTCTCTCTAGAACAGACCAGTTCATTATCTACATACCCCTGCATTCTATACCAGTATGTCATTTCATTTCAAGTTTCTCAAAATACCTCTGAGAGTTACTGTTTCCAGTGGAAGCTGGGGGATATAATTTTACACGTGGAACTTTACATCTATGACTATGCTTGCTAAAATTTCTCACTGAGAGTATAGTGATTAAGTGCTCAGTTCTGGAGTCAGAATGCTGGGGTTCATCCCCAGCTCTGCTGTTTAATGGTAGTGTGACCTTGGGCA